AAAATTATTGTTGTTATTCAATAAATCACCGTAAACGTATTAGTTTTATATATAAATAATGATCCATTGATTATTCCTTGCTCACCGGACTATTCCTCTAATCCTGTAGTTGCATGAGTCATCTTCCATAGTCTAGTTTGTTAGATCAGCAGATTATTTGCAGCCGAGAGGAAACGATTCAATAAACTAATCTGGAAGCACAGCTTTATTTTAAGAATGCCTCCTCTATGCAGACCAGATTGTGGTAGAAATACTCTGGTAGAGGTAACATCAGTGTTGGACATCGTCTTCCTCCCCAGGCATGAAGCTGCTGCAGAACTAGATAGCCGTTTCGGTAACAGACTACTGCGTCTTAAACGCACAAAGGAGCGTAATCGCAGATCCTTCTTGCCAGTATCCTTTGGTTTGTTGGGAGCAGTGATGGTTATAAGATCCGAGTGTTTATATCTGGACTATTTTTTTCCATCAACCGTCTTGTTTTTAATCCCAACATTCATGCAGAGGTATGCCTTAAATTATCCCACTGGTGATTTCTTTGAATCAAAGCATATAATTTTTCATAATGGCAAGGTATCGTTTCTTACAACATGACTGTTTTAGTACCCGTTTGTAAATCTGCATGCTTAGACTTGCCGTTTGCATGACCAAAATTCCCCACGAGGAACAATAAATGCTACAACTATACTAAAAATCGTCCCGAGGTGTTCAAATCTGGAAAATGTTTTTTAGTTTTTTCGTCTCCAGGCTTTCACTACATTTTGAGCAGAGCGGTTCAAACCAACTTGCGCAGACTATGGAGTCACTGCACAGGCTGAGACACATCGGCCCTTTTAAGTTGTTTTTACTGCATCATTATGAGCTTGTTTCTCTTTAGTCACGAACGTGTCCAACAAAGAAAATACTAAATAAAGTGGAATACACCTCAACTCCCTCTCCTTCTAAAGATCTGCCACTTGCTAAAGTATTAACAAGTCATGGTCTTATGAACTTTACTCATGAACTTCTGTGGATTTAATCAGGATTTGATGCTCTAAAAAATCAAACATTTAGAAAAAACAGAAGTTGAAGAAAATAGAGTTAAAAAACTGAAAGTGTACATTTGGACTGCTTATGTCCATTTTAAAAATCACCTTCCAGTCCAGTTACAGGTAGACAGTCTCTAAGCCTTATAGTCTCTGGACAGAAGCTCCAGCAGAGTCATATTGGAAGGAAAAATCCTACTGCAGCTTCTTAAGAGGATGTTTTAGCTTGACTTTGACTGGGCCACACTAACAAATCCTTAGTAGACAACCCCATTCTTAGAATATATTTCCCTTCCCCAGTCTCATGTCTTCTGCAGATGGCTGTGCTGCGTTTAGCTCCACCCACTTTCCCCATCAGCGCTGGTCAGCCTCCTTGTCCCCAAAGCGTTTCCAATGCCATAATTGTTCATGTTATGTGATGAAGTGGGTTTTTTAATCACACTGAGAACTAAAAGAACTAGACTTCAACCTGTGCTGCAGCTCTATTATAGTTACCATGAGGTTCTTGGACACTCGCCCAGCCTGTCATTTAAAAATCAAAGGACATCTTTGTAGGGTTACACTTGCCCCATAAAGATCTCCGTTTCTGAATAATTGTCTAAACGGTGCTTCAGGAAGTGTTTGAAGCTTAGCGTTTCATTTCCTAACCCAGCGCTGGATTTTTCTTTATGATTCATTCATGTTCCCTGACAAATCTCTGACACCTTCACAGAACAACAGTGCAAGCCTGAACACAGATGCATGCCGCGTGTTTAAGATTTTAAATCCATGAATCATTTCCCTTTCAGTTAATCACATCTGATTCCATTAGTCGGATCCCGAGGAGATCCGCTGAAGTTATGCTGCTAAAGGCTTAGACTGCTGGAGGACCTGAGGACCACTTTT